GCGGTGAGAAGCCGGGGACAGGTGAGGGGGGGGGCAGCGATCCTGCGGGAAGGCAGCTGGAGCTGCAGGAGCCAAGTCCGAGGAGGGAAGATTTTAATGCGTGAAGGGAAAAGCTGTCTTTGCTCGAGTGCAGCCTGGAGCCGCTCTCCTTTGGTGCTGGTTTACCCCGTTAGTCTGGTGGAAGCGGAGCTCGGAGGGCTCTGGGAGCCTGCCATCAGCACGCTGTGGCCGTGAGCCTTTTAAAGCAGCAAGTCCCAAGCGTGCGTGGGCTCTGGCCCATGGTCTGTCTGTCTGCTGCTGAGCCTTGTCTGTGGCAGTTTGTCCTGCATGCAGGCAAACAGCAGCAGCAAACCCTTTTCCCGTCCGGCACTTCCCAATCCTTCGCCCAGGGTGCACCCCAGACACTGCCCAATTATTAAGCTTTTATGTACAGTTTATTGGAATGGGGAGATCGGGGTCTTGGCTCACCTCCGGGGCTGGGTGACGGCGCGGGAGCGGTGGTGTGCCGCTGTGTGCTGCCTGCTGTGTTCGGAGCCGGCGGCAGAGAGCAGTGTTTCTTCACAAGTGGGAAGGAAGGGAAGGAGCAGCCGCCCGCCCTCCGGCACAGCACTTTTCTCTCCTCACCTGGAACCAAACTCTCCCAAAGCCATACTTCCATCCGCTGCTGATACCGGCAAACCGGGGTGCCCCCTTACTGGGGAGATCCCGCTGCCCCGTAGCGTGGACGACAGCCGAGATGTCACGTTTTCTAATTAAACTTTTGTTTCCACCTTCTCCAGTGCTCCGTGCCCCGGATGAAGTGTAGCACTGATTAGAGCCGCGCTCCTTCATTTATTTAAATCGGTAGTGGTATCTGAGGGGCGTTGATGCGTGCATTTCTTCCACAAGTGTTTTAATCACTGTTTTTTAATCACTGGCCGAACTCTGCTATTTTGAAGAGGGACGGAGAAAAAACTATGGCAGAGAGTGCTGCAGCGAGAAAAACGTGGCGCTGCCCCCCACCTCGCCAGATGCTGGGTGGAGCTGCCTTTTCGAGCACCATCCCTACGTCTGCAGGCTTCCTGGGTGTTTGGTGTGTGGTTGGGAGCAGCTGGCAGGAGCTTCGGGGTGTTAGGGGACTGCATCTCACAGCCTCTCTGCAGCCGCTGAATTGCATTGCCTGTCCCCTGCAGCCTGCCCTGCACGCTCACGGTGCAGCCGCGGTGCTCGGGGTCTTGCAAAGGCGACAGGGCAGAGGAGAGGCTGTCTGTGGGTGTGATGCGACCGGCTGCCCTTGCGGCTGAGCACTGGGATCTTTTAACTTCATGATATTCAGCAGTTTAACGTTGCAAAGAGTTGAGGTACAGGCGCAGTCGATTTGTGAAAGGTGAGGAGGAAAGGCACCGCTCCTCGTGCAGGAGAAGCCGCGGGACCTGGCAGCGTGTGGGGGCATTGCATCTTCTGCCTGCGCAGGCCACGTGCTGAGCTTCCGCATGTCCGTGCTGCCTGCGCGCTCGCCAGCCTCGCCGGAGGAGGAAGGCGCGTGGGCAGGGGATGGGGTCCGCGCGCGTGGCAGGTCAAGGTGACCCCTGCGCTGCATCACCCTCATAGGGTTTAGGGGAGAGGAACGAGCTGTTGCAAAGTGTTGTTAGCGTTCACAGGGGGAACAGCAAGCCTGGTTTTACAAGGGATCTGCTTTAAGGGCTCTCTGTGTCTTTGCAAGGCGAGGCATCGGTCTGCAGCCAGCGGTCATTATTTCAACATTTTGCAATAAAAGATAATAGAATAATGATTTATTTCCCTGGGTTGATGCAGTAATGTCTCTCTCCATTATCCCTTCCTGACAGCCTGTGATTACAGTAAACGTTTTCCCTGGGACACCGTGGTAATGAGTTTTTAATAGAAAGATTAACCTAGCTTTAAATCCTGTCCCGGGGAGGTGACCTGTGTCCTGTCCCCTCCTGCCCCCAGGTCTGGGCCACCTCCCTCTCCCCTCCCCACGGCAGCAGGGTTTCTAGCTCCTTTGGCTTTCCCAGCGTGGGGCTTGCTATAATGCTGTAGGTCAGGGGCGTGTCAAAGCCCCGCTCGTACGGGGTCTGCAGCCTGCGAGTTACTCTGGAAAATGAGTGTTAGCAACAAAAAAAAGAAAAAAAAAAAAAAAAAAAGGTTAATGATGTTTGAGATTTAAGGAGGTTGAGATTTCCGAGTGGTACCGGAGGTCGTTTGCCATGAGCTGCTGTCTGGAAGTTTCAATGGATATTCTGGTTGTGCCGCTGGCTGTCCAAATGCAACAGGTATTGCTCTGCCTGCAGCTGCCGCCGCCAGCTCTGAAATACCCTTTCTTTCTCCTTTCCCGTCCCAGACCGTTTACTTCCACACCTCCTTGAACCACCCCGGCATCGCTGCCGTTGTGGAAGTGGTGGCAACGGTTGGGAAAGGGGATGAGGGCTCTCAGCACGTCTCCTGCGGCTTTGGACTCATCCCCCTCTTTGGCAGGGGATCGGAGGCGACGGACCCAGCCGCCGAGGACAGAGTGTAGGTCCCCCCACCGCCATGTGATGGGGCATGCTGGGAATCGGGGTGGCAACATGCACGGCTGCTTCGGGGGGAGAAAGGGTGGTCCTGGGGCTGCAGAAACAGAGCCAGCATTTAGAAACCTGGAATTCTTCACTGCTGGGGAAGCAGCGATGGGTTTGTAAGTGATGCCTGTCCTTTCCCTAAAGGATAGGGTTTTTACCGCGGGTACAGAGTAGGAAGGTGGTTTCTTACTGTTGAGCAGAGGCATTGTGGAAGATGCAGATGTGCTTCAGGGTGGATTTACTGACCACTGCGCGTGTGCTCTTTGCTTTCAGACTGAAGCTGTACCACGGGACGCCGCGCGCCTTACTGCACCCACGCTTCCAGGACCCTGTGGAAAGTAAGCAGCAGCAAGACATTGCGTCTCGCTCCTTTCTTGGTGGCCTCTCCTATCCAAACGGGTATTGTGTGTGTCTGGTCGATGTGATACGTGGTCTCTGCCCTGGTAGTGCTAAGCGGACGTGCCTTACTGCCAGACGGGAAAAGCCTGGCCGGGCAAACCCAGGTTTTCCTTTGCTCCCAACATGTGTTCATGGATAATGATTTCTTCAACAGTGGTGCCGTGAAGCTGTCTCCCCTGGTTTTGGTCATTTTGGGATGTTTTCTCTTCTTCAGAGAACAAACACCTGACGGTGATGGAGAAGAGCCACCTGCAGTACGCCCTGAAGCCCCACCAGCCCCTGGAGATGATATTTCACCTCCTTCCCGAAAACCTTCTGATGTCTGGGCTGCAGACCGTTCCCGGCTTGCTGCCGGCACGTGGAGATGCGAGTAAGGGCTCCTTCCCTTTCCCTGCTGCCTGTGTCGCTCCTGCTGAAGGCCGCAGGTCCCTGGGGAGGCTGCGGGCAGGGCGCTGGCATGGGGTTTCTGGGAGCACCGACGGGTTCTCTGCAGCGCTGCCCCTTGGCAAGAGCATCTCCCCTGTGTGGGCCAGCGGGGCGGCAGCCCTTGCATTCATAGCTCAGCCTTAAAGAGGTCAAAATGACTTCAGTCTGTTCCCCATCCGTTAATTGCTTCGCTCCTGGGAAGCTGCTAGGGATAACTGATGGTTGGTTTAATTACAGTCGTTCAGTGGAGTCTTAGGAGAAGCCCTTGCAACTTGTTTAAAGTCGTTGTCCTTGGTGGTGGGGCTCAGGATCGCTGGGGGTCTGGCAGGTTTGGGGGGATGAGCTAGCTCCTGTGTGCTCAGCCCTCGTTAATCTTTCCCTGTGGGTAGCAGACTTGCCGTTCAAGCTGCTGCAATTAAAATTATGTGATCTGAAGATTCAGAGGGTAGAGTACTCTCAGTTCTGCAGCTGAATTATTCTTCAGCTTACCGCCTGGAAAACCCTACTGCTAACCATTTTGGGGGTTGTAACTGTTAATGTTAAAGCTGAGCAAGGCCTCCAAAGCAGCCGAGTCCCTGGTGCTGCTGAGACCACTGCTCGAAAGCAGAAGAGGGGAGAGCCAGTGTCTTGCACTGCAGGGCACCTCAGCACTACAGTGGCGGTGGCTTTATTAAGTAGACAGATTGCATCCATTGACACCGACGGCGTTGGGTATTTCTGGGTCTCTCCTGGGCATAAAGACGTGTATGTGCCGGGGAAGCTGGGGATCCCACACACGACCACGACCTCTTCCCGGTGCTGCTTTCGGCTCAGGTCTGGCAGCAGGTGCCCCTGCGGTCCTGGTGACCTTCCCCCCAGCTGTGGCGTGACCTGTGGCCACCACCTTGTCTTTTCAGGTGACTGCTTGCAGAAACCCCGGCTGATGAAGCCGGTCACCTGCTATCTGGAGAGGCTGTCGGTCCAGCTGTACCCTTCCTTGGAGGAATTCGAGGAAGAACTGCTGGACTTACTGAACAGCGATCGCTTACTTAAGGTAGTGCTGATGCAGTTATGGCAGGGAAGAGCACAGTGCGCGAGCAGTAATGCCGGCACTTTGTTTTCGGGCAGAGCGGAATGGTTCAGATAAATGACGCTTGTCTGTTTCACTTGGAGTCTCTGATTTTTTTGCTGTGCAAGCCTTTTGCTTTACTGCTGGATTAGCGCATAGGTGCTCCGTGTTGGGTTTGTTTTGAACGTCCAGACACTAATAAGCAGAATTTGGGTTTGCTCTGCTATGGAAAATCCAAAGATAAGATGCAGTGCTCATCATAGTACGTCTCTTTAGGAACGGCAGCGCTTGGTGCGCGGTAAGGACCGCTGGCCAAGTCCTTCTTCATTTGCCAGATTTGCACCAACTCTGCCATAAAGACGAAAGATTTTAGTATCCATCAGCTGCTGGGGGGGTGGGTCCTGTTTTTTTGAGTTTCTGATGGATTGCCTGAATTTTCCTGGCCGTGGGTGGCACAGGGAGGGATGCTGAGCCACCTCGTGCTGCCTCGCTGCCTGAGCTGGAAAACTTGCCTGTTGCAGGCTAATGCTGCGCCGGACGGCAGTGGGGTGGTGGTTCGGGAGCGGCGGCTGCATGTTGGCGTCCACAACGGCCTGCGCTTCGTCCAGGTGCCGCAGGTGGCCGTGCTGGTGCCGGAGGCAGAGATGGTGCGGGGTGGCTACCCAGGGATGCCAGGCTCCGGAGCCAGGTAAGGGGGAGATCCTTCAGCACCGCCCTTGCTGCTTTTCTCCTGCCTTGGGTGCTGCCCACAGCCGCTTCTCCATCCTGGTGCAGGGGTGCAGGTCAAGCCCTGGTCCTGAGGAGCCGCATCCACCTGAGCGAAATGGTCCCTCACCCAGCGTTTGGGGTCTGCTTCCAGCTGGAGTACGTCTTCTGCGCCGCGGGGAGAGCTGATGGGAAGGTAGGGCTGAGTGTGCATGCACCTCGTCTCCGTCCCTTATTAACGAGTGGAGATCTGCCGCTGGGGGAGCGAGCCCTGCTGAGTAAATCCATCCTCTGCCCCCACTTCACCGTCCCGCACCCCCAAGACGCAGCAGCTCCTTGTCACGCGGCTGCGCTGCCTAACAAATGGCCCCGCAAAGTGTCCAGGTGCCTTCTGCAGCGCTGTGCAAAATATCCTGCAAATGGGCTTACTGAATCATTTTAATTATATGTGGTTACATTTCTCCACCGTGTATTTGTATATGAAGAAATGTAGCCTGCAGCAGTCCCATAGTGTTCTGGCAAGCTAATTTGGAATATCTCAGCTTTTTTTAATTTAAAAAAGGCTTTTCTTTCAGAATTTAGCATTTATGCTGAAAAGAAGTTAACCCCTCCCTCTCTTTTTTCTTTTTTTTTTTTTTTTTTTTTTTTTTTTTTTTTTTTTTTTTTTTTTTTTTTTTTTTTTTTTTTTTTTTTTTTTTTTTTTTTTTTTTTTTTTTTTTGTTTTTTTCCCCCCCCGAATGCTGAGGTTTTTCTGGGAGCTTCAGTGGGAGCTTCAGCCTGATGTTCTCCGGACCTTAAAGCCAGGAGAAGTCTCTGTATTGACTGCAGAGAGCACGCTCGCTAATGCCTACTTACCGATCATTTACATGTATTTCAGTTGAACCTTTCCGCAGGTTAAACCCAGCTTAGCGAGCCATTCAGTCGTCCCCTCCAGAGACCCTTTGCTGTTGGAGCCATTAGCTCGTAGTGCGGCTGAATCGATGGCCATGGGTTTGTTAGGAGGCCCTAATCGTCCTGCTAAGATGCTCATTGAAAATGCAGCAAGTGTCCTCTCTTGTTAGAGCTGTCCAGAGCGAAGCTGGGGCGAAAATGGGTATTTATAAAGTGGGACACGTGTGCCAGGCCAGAGGGATTTGTATTGAGGTGGGGAGGAGAAGCTGAGCCTTGCTGTCAGAAATCATGTGTTGGGTTCAACTCCTTTAAAAAGCTGAAACCCAAGGACCCGCGGAGATTTGGGGCTCCGGACGCAGACCTGTTTGTTTGGCTGTACTGGGTGCCGGGAGTGCTGGCCGGGGCGGCAGTGGAGCTGGTTCCCGTGGCGCAGCCCTTGGGCAGAGCGGTTAATCCCGAAGCCACTCGCCGAGCTGATCGCCTTGTCCTCTGTGCCATAATTAGCAGGCTGTGAGGGTGATTGCGGGCACTGGTAGAAACCTCTTGGCTTGCTTCTGCGCCTCTCCTTCGGTTTAAGGGGAGGCTGTGGACACGCCCGGGTAAGTGGAAGCCTTTCCGCTGCCTTTCCCGTCTGCCAGGGATGGGGGGTCAAACATATATCCCTTAATGCAGCTGCTTGAGTGAGGGGGTTACGGCCCTTCGGTTGGGTGCTGGTGTCTTTGTCTCAGCCTACATGCGCTAAGTACATACAAGGGATGAACCCTGTTATTTTTGTGCTTTTATATTATATCAGCATTATATTATGCTGATCCATAATCTAGAGGTGTAGTCGCTTGCGTAACTTGGTGAAGGGATGGGGTACGATTGCCTGGAGCGCGGGTGCCTGACGTACTGCAGCCGCAGCCTGCAGGAAGGGGAATAATGTCAGCGATGGGCTGGGTAAACGGGGTAAGTGCAAGAAAAACCAAAGAGTACCCACGTGGGAAGGGTGGTACGGGGTTTACAGGGAGAAAGTGGGATTTGTACCTGTGTGCAGCTGTGGCCATGAGTTTGTGGTCAGCCTTGAGGAGGTGAAAGCACGTAGGAAGGCGCCGGTTCTGCCTGCGGCGCTGCTGGCAGAGGGAAGAGAAGCAAACCTCAAAACTGTGCAGGCTGGCTCAGTGCTATTTCACTGAGAGGTCTCGCGATCCTGGGTCCCCTCCCTGGGACCGACCTGTCCCTCTCCGTCAGGGAAGCATTTCTGGTGTTCCTCAGAGCCTGCAAAGGGATGGGAGCAGAAAGGTGTGGTCGCTGGGGGGCGAAAAATGGGTGCGAAAAGAGAAATAAGATGCTGGAAAGCGGAATGTCTCCAGAACAGGTTGAAGGGGAGCGGTTTCTGCGACGCCGGAGCTGGGCGCGGGAAGGCGTGGGGGGAGATCAGAGCCCTTGTCTGTCTGGCAGCACCCTCTGCCCTGTCCCGGCGGTGAGGTGAGTGTGCCCGGCGCTCACTGTGCTCTCCCCCGGCTCTCCCCCAGGCCCTGCCCGGC